TGTCCATGGGTTCCAGACTTCAGGCAGTCATTGACTGCAAAGGATTTTCATCCAGGTATTAGATCCTTTTGTTTGTAATGATGTTGGTTTGTTCCATTATTTATGAGCCACCAATAAGTAATGATGGGGGGGGGGTGTATGTCACTGGCTGTACTTCCTGAATGGTTAGTGTCCCACTTTTCTCAAACCCCTTGAATTACAGCTGAAAGTCCTGATTTCGCTCCCATCTGGATGTGTTTCTTTCCAACTTCAATGTGGTGGTGTACAGAGGCCAAATGCCAAAACAGTTATCCTTGTTCCAATATTTCTGGTCCTGACTGTATAAGCAATAACAACCACCTTTTATTAGAATTCTCTTAAAATTCTTCTCCTAAAAACGGATTACTATGTTTGGAGCCTCAACTGATTCCTCTAAAATCTCTAACAGATCATAGAACTTCAGGAAAGGCAAGAACAGCGGGACCAAATTATTTCCAATAACAAAAGCTTAAAATCAATAAAGTACCAAGAAGATTTGTCCAATTAAGTCCTATAAACTTAGTTCTGTTTGATCAGAACTAAGTTGATCAATAATAATACTATGAGAAGCCCAGATAACTCCAAAATCGATTTTCTAGCTATTTTTAAACTGTTATTAACCACAGTGTGAGCTTTTAATGGATGAAAGGATTAAAATTCTATCTATCTAAAGTATAGACTAATATATTCTTTATGCATCTTGCAGCACTAAGGGCAGGTACTAGAATTAATTCTCAAACAAATAAGGATGATATCAGTGCTGGGGCAGGATTTCAATGAAATCAAATAATAGTTTCAAGTGGAAACAGAGAGAGGCTAAATTTTGAAATTCATTGTTCCAACCATGAAACCAAAATAAATGCCCAATGATAAAAATTCCTGAAAGTGCTTCTTTACTATAAGCAAGATACGAGACCAAAAAGCTGGGACGAAAGAACAACATGTGAAGCAGACCCAAATTCTTCATAGTGCATTTTGAGTAAACCATTATGAGCCTCCTTCATCTTCCTTTGCAAATAATTATTTGGCAAATGGGGATAGGCTATTAAAATACTTTCCAGTTATATGTACATATAAGACAGCAGACAGCAGCTGACACCAGCTGCACACCTAAGTGATTAAATAATGGTATTGTTTTCAGACAGATTATTAGGCATTCCTTGACCTAATTGTGAAACTATTAAGGGGAAGGTGGGGTTGGGGTGAATCACAACACTGATTACAATGAGCAACCTTTGCGAAATTGCTCTGAGATTATAATTAACTGAAATAGGGAAGGTTTACTAATGAGAAAGAAGTATCAGTATTAACAACAGGCACAAGTAGAGGGCTGGTCAGGATCAACATGGAACATAACATCAGGAATTAAAGAATTGAACATGCTCAGAGGAATGTAAAGGACCTGAGACCTGGTCTCATACAATCTAGATTATGTAGTGCTACCAATTTGTTAATGTTTTTGGTGCTATACAAAATATTAATTTACAAAGGTCTGCCTCCAAAATGCATTTTGTTGATGATAATTACAATTCAGAGCAAGCTGAAGGAAATATGGAACAAGAAAGGGACAAAACACTCCCTTTCAAGACTGCTAAACTGAACTATAACTAAGCAATTTTAGGAACAGCAAAACTTTAAAATTTATTTAATTCTGAACATCAGTGTTCAGTAAGCAGAACACATACTCATCTACAGTATCTACCTACCTACCTACCTACCTACCTACCTATCTATCTGGAAAAGAAAGGACTCATGTCAACTTCAGTTCCTGAGGATTATTAAGTTTTTTTTACAATTCAGTCTAAGAAATACAAATGACTGTAGGCTCATTTATATTAGCACCCGAAACTGACTTTAATTCTTAATTTGCCTATAATAATAGACACAAAATTAATTCAAATGTATTTGGGACTGAAACACTGGGAAAAACATTGACTGTAGCAATCTATTTCTCTAAAATAACAAATAAATCATTAAAACATACAGTATCTTAAAAAATATTTCCTATGGTCTTTTTTTATACGAGCAAATAAATCTCCCCATAGGTAATAACATAATATTAAAAACTTATGCAGAACATATTGGAGGATTCTTACACTTTTGATTCTTTCTAACCTAGTCATGATTCCAGTACATTACATTCTATACATAGATTACTATGAATCCATTCTTAGTTCATTTATATTTCTAAAGTAGTCTGTATTAATTTTTAAAAAGCCTTCTATAAATTTCAGGAATTATTTTATCTTTTGCTGTGCATGTCAGGTCTAACTCACAAGCCGTTAAGCAAATCCCTGTAACAGTACTTTGCGGCATTTTCACTGCATTTGAAATGCAGACCTCTATTGACAAATGCATTGAAAATTGACTTTGCTTTTATTTTATTTTTTTGCATCCTGTTTTCACCCACTACTCAATGCTGTAACAGAATAGCAGAGAACAGCACTCTTTGGTCCTTATTCTAGGAGATAACTAATTTCCAGTCATAATCAACAGAAAAGATAGAATACTATTCCATTTAAACATACTGCTTTTCAACTTTTTAAAATTATCATCTTATTACAGTTTTATTCCTTCAAAAATGAAGCACCCATCAACTAAAAAATATGACAACTCATTCAGCAAAAGAAAGATGGCACACCATGAAAACATTATTCATATGCAAATAAACTTGTCACTTCATGTTAGCACCTACCAGATGACACCAAGACAGCAATTTGCACATTTTATCTTTTTTGTGATACATGAAGATTGGTATGACAGTCTACAAATATACATACAAAAACCACTCACCTGTTTTTGGGCTCTACAAATGGAGAGGATCCATCTGTATCAGGATCCAGAATATGGTCTATTTCACTTTGTGCTTTTTCATACATCTTTTTTCTGTCTGCCAAACCCTTGTTATCAATTTGAGGAAAATCATAATAGCCTTTCCGCTTAGCTTTCAGTCGCAATTTGTTGCGATAATGTTCTATATCAGACTTCTGTTTCAAGGCTTTGTTAATCTGACAATAAAATTTAAAAGGGAAAATATACAAATTAATAAAATTACACTATCAGTTTTAAGGTGACTAATTCTCTGAAACAAGGAACATAATTTTAATTCATTCAGCCACACTACTGAGAACTTAACAATTATTTTTAAACCTTTCAGATAAAGTGTGATGCTCCACATAAATGTGGAGATCACTCAATCCTAATGAAGGCTGTAATGTGAGATCCATTGCTTATAATGATTATTAAAAATGGAAAACAATATCGAACCAGTTACAGCTTAATGCAAACATTTAGGCACCCTTGGTTAATTTATATGTTTCAATGTATTCCTAATTGAACAGGCACAACCTCCATGTGGTACACAGTTGAACATGACATCTTTCTGCAAATTTGAATGCAGGTTTACTATTTCTGTGCAGTTATCTACATATTCAAAATAAAAAAGTGAATATGGCAGATGCAGGGCATTTTGACACCCTTCTAGTTGATTCAAGTGCTTTAAAAAACAAACTACAAAGTTGGTAGCAGGGCCCAAAATGGTGATTAACTGATTAGGCCTACAATTAGCCAGGTGAAGACAATAGCACAGACGAACAAATGCTCTGACCTGACCTCTTGTTCTTCTCTACTTTCAGCAACATGGACTCCTTTGTCTGAAGAGCATTTGAACTGTCAGAGTATTTGAAAATAAAGACAATTTACTCTTACAAAGCCAGGGAAGGCTATTAAAAAACTCTAAATACTTCCAGCTGGCAATTTCAATTTTGAGAAACATTATTAAGAAATGGAAGTTATATGCAGAACAGAATCTTTTCTCTGATCTTACCACAAAAGTCAATTAAAGTATGCAAAGAAAACCCTGATAAGCATGGAACATTTGTTTATTTTATTCTATTGATTAATTCAATTTATATAGCCACCCACTCAGCAAGAGACTCAGGATGGCACATTTAGAAACAAAGAGCTCTGGGCTTACTTGGAAACAAAAATTGTACTGTTCAGCCTCAATCACATATTTGTTGGGTGAAGCATTTGGAAAAAAACACTCCAACCAGAAGCTATACACAAAGGTGGCTCTATGTTATACCTCTGGCAGCTGTCTGAACCAAAAGTAATTATTTTTCAAGCACAATTCTCACAGAATTCTCTTTGATAAGAATTATTAAGATGAAAGGAACAGTAGTAGAAGAATTCCAGCTAAGTCTTATGAACTATTTTCCATTTAGAACCAATATATCTCAATGTACATTATGGTGATTCCAAAGAAGGGCAATGCCAAAGAATGTTCAAACTATCGCACAATTGCACTCATTTCACATGCTAGCAAGGTTATGCTCAAAATCCTACAAGCTAGGCTGGTGGTATCGTCCGCATATCTGAGGTTGTTGATGATTCTCCCTGCAATCTTAATTCCGGCTTGTGATTCTTCCAGCCTGGCATTTCTCATGATGTACTCTGCATATAGGTTAAATAAGCAGGGTGACAGTATACAGCCTTGTCGTACACCTTTCCCTATTTTGAACCAATCGGTTGTTCCATGACCGGTTCTAACTGTTGCTCTCAAAATCCTACAAGCTAGGCTTCAGCAGTACATGAACCGAGAACTACCAAATGTACAAGCTGGGTTTCGAAGAGGCAGAGGAACTAGAGATCAAATCGCCAACATTCGCTGGATCATGGAGAAAGCACGAGAGTTCCAGAAAAATATCTACTTCTGCTTCATTGACTATGCAAAAGGGTGGTATCGTCCGCATATCTGAGGTTGTTGATGATTCTCCCTGCAATCTTAATTCCGGCTTGTGATTCTTCCAGCCTGGCATTTCTCATGATGTACTCTGCATATAGGTTAAATAAGCAGGGTGACAGTATACAGCCTTGTCGTACACCTTTCCCTATTTTGAACCAATCGGTTGTTCCATGACCGGTTCTAACTGTTGCTATGAAGCTCAAGCTCAGATACTTTGGTCACCTAATGCGAAGAGAGATCTCTTTGGAGAAGACCCTGATGCTGGGAAAGATTGAAGGCAAAAGGAGAAGAGGACGGCAGAGGATGAGATGGTTAGATAGCATCACTGAAGCAATGAGCATGAAACTGAGCAAACTCAGGGAGGCAGTGAAGGACAGGAAGGCCTGGCGCAATATGGTTCATGGGGTCACGAAGAGTCGGACATGACTTAACGACTAAACAACAACATTATGAAGAAGATAAGAGTCCTTTTCTCATGATTCTTATGACCTTAGGTATATCAGAGAGAAGGCAGCTCTCTTCACAAATAATGGAAAAGTTTGCAGATGACTGTTTACATAACAGTCACTTGAATTTCTATCAGTCCAAAAATCAACTCTTACATTCTGTTATGCTTGGGGGTTATGGGGCAGCCCACGGCACAGGAAATATTGTGCAGGTAGAAGGAATAACAGATTCAGCTAAATACCATAGCCTAGAAGCTAATGTCCTACGATCAGTGAAACTAAAAATAATAATAAAAGATCTTGGATAGTTCAGCAAGACAAGTCTGAAACATATCTACAAATAAACTACAAAGTACTTACAAAAAAGCAGGATAAAAGTTTGGAATAACATTCACAGTCCCGATTTGTACATTAATTTAAATCTGTAGAAGAATTCAAACACACAATACATGCAAGGAGACCTAAGAATATTTCTGAGCTAAAAGAATTTTGCAAGGAAAAGTGGGAGAAAATTCCAAAAGCAAGAATTTGACTTGGAATAACAAAACTTTTGCATGAAACTATATGTCAAAACTCAGTATCAGGTAAATAACACTAGTGTCTATTGTATGTCCCAACATGGATGCTGAATGGAACGCACTGTGTAATATAACCACAGTCTAAACCATGTAATGTATAACTAAGTAACTATGTAACTTTTTGTGTAAACTTCGGGCTACAAAGATACTGATTAAAGATTGTGAAATCACCTCATCATATCAGAGATGAAAAGAATGAATTTCAATATAGATTTGCAAGATTGTTTATGAATAAAGAAGAATCTTGTTACATTTTCACGGATCAAGGTGTAGTTGAAGGGAATATAGATTTTAAGGTTGACAGTTTAGGACAAGAATAGATGTTTACTACACAGTATAAATACAAGCTCAACACTCCCCTTGATATGTCCTCTTAAGCAGAATGCCTTGATATATGTACATAACCTGTAGTAAGCCTCATTATCCCTTATCCTCTAGTTTTCTTTCAAGTTCCACACAGGAGAGTATGTTCACAGTTATATGCGATGATATACTCAGTCTTTCCTTTGTAACTTAGGATATGAGATCTATAGAAATTCCCATAATCATAATCTTGAGTCAGAATTTTATATTTATCATCAAAAAGCTCTTTACATAAAAGCTGCATATTGATAGGGCAGTTGTATGAGAATGAAAGAAGTTTTTTGCCAACTTTCCATTTCATCATCCTTCAAAACTTGTTTTCCTTCTAGCTGATCTTCTTTGTTAAAGTCAAAACTTAACTATATGTGTAAATGTATACAAAGAAAAATAATGCTACTTTTCATCACCTGTTTGATGAAAATCTTAAGATTAATCTGTGATGACATATATTTTTCCTTCCATTTGACACTATTTGTCAAGCTCTTGGCAACAAAAAACAAGATTCTCACAAAGTCTTTTTTTTAAATCAGATTTATTGAAAGAGAAAAGGAAATATGTTACAGAAAAATTTAGATAACTGGATACTTTCATTTTAGCTCACAATTTATCTCTAAACTTGCTTGGTCAGGGACTTCTTAATCATCTTGCTAACAACTGTTTGATGGACAAGGAGATCCTAACTGTTTTCCTGATAACAGGAGAATGTGCCGTTGTTCTGAGCTAAGAGTGTATTACAAAATATTATCTACTTTCCCAGGCTCTGAGAAGCCTCTAACATTGTGTTTGTACATGCAATATAAATGGAGGGGGGAAAAAAAGTTAAGGAATTTTTCCTCTAAGAATTGTACATACTTATATCATTTCAAAAAGATAACAGAGGAAATCATATTCAGTAGAAAGGACAGTGTGAAGTTTAATTTCTTTGGTTTGCCTCCCCAGAATTGGTAGCCAAAGTCATTGGACAACTCCACACACAATCTTTTGTATTTGCTGCCACCAGTCACCAATTGGCTCAGTAGCCACGTTATTTAGCATTCCCTCCTTAGAGCACTTCTTTACAGACCTACCGAAGCTCAACGTATAACAGAAAAACAATTATAGGATGCATTCTTACCTCCCCATTAAGGACAGCTGTTTCTTGGCTCCTGTCTGTTGCTGGGTGTGCAGGAGGCAAAGCTACAGGTTTTATCGCAATCAACTGTACAGATCCGGAAGACGTGTCAAAGGGGTCAATGGCAGATTTAGTCACATTATCAAACAGCATGCTTCCATCCTCTTCATCACTTAGAGGCACTAAAATAAGTTAAAATGTAGTCAACATATTATTTTGGCATTTCATGTGTGGGTCAATGTGGAAAAAAGTAAAAGTAAACTACACTAGATACACTATACTGGAAAGCTAATTCTTCTAGCTAGAATCACCACAGAAATGAAATATATATTTAAGGTAGCTATTCATTTTAAAATAAAGGGCAATGAAACATAGGGTATCCTCTACCATATTTTGTGAGATTTAGGTATCAAAAATTACAACAATTTATAACAATTATAGGATTGTCAGTTGCCAAATGAAACCATTTGCAGTTCTGCTTTGCATGCTATAATCAACAGTTGTTTTTTCAATGTGGCTGGGGGGTGTCTCATCCAAATTTGTTCATGGATTTTTAAACCATGGCAAGGCTTAGAAGATTTATTTATTAGATTTATGTCTCACCTTTATTAGTAAACTCAAGGGGGTTTACATCATGTTCCCCCTTCCTATTTTCCTCACAACAACCCTGTGATGTGGGCTGGGCTGAGAGAGTGTGAGTGATTGGCCCAAAGTCACCCGCTGCCTTCCATGCTAAGGGAGAACTAGAATTCATGGTCTCTAGTTCTATGATCTGAGCCACCTGTTAAGTAGGCCATAATTTCAGGGGGATTACTGTTTTTTATTACTACAACACACAGTTATCATTCAAAATCAGCTCACTAACAATAAATACACTCTAGAACCATTTACTAAATTCAGGACGAAGCTTCTACATATACGTCCTGCTTATGTCCCTTTACCACCATAGGTTGGTCCTCCCCTCCCCTCCCCTCCTCCCCTCCCTCCTTCCTTCCCTATATATCTATCTCGCCCAAATTGCAAATTGTGACTCACTGTGACTTAAGTAAACCTTCATAGGTCATTAATATTTTGATCCCTAACCTAACCTTTCAGAGATTGCTCCAATCCCAGAAGAGCTCTGTTGAGATACTCTGTTCCCTTTCCTTCAGCATATTCAACTGGGGACTGGCTGCTCTGCTTTTGTTTCTCTCATGTGGGCTCTTTTCTAGTTTTGTCGTACCTAAACTATTCCTGCATACCACAAATTCAGTAACACTGGACTACAGTACATCCCGTTAAAGGTAGAAAGGAATGTTTATAAAATATTCATAAACATGACTCTTCATCAACAGCTACATTATAGGAGAATATTTAAAATAATCAATCTGAGGGGCTGAAAACTGATAAATTTAAGGTAAAGGTTTTCTCTCATTGAGTTTGGCTCCTGGTAAATACATGGACATGGCTATATAGCTTCTTGGCAACAACATGGAAGTGCTATGCCACTGCTTTTTTACAGGAAGTTTTTCCAATTCCCGACACTGAAATTTCCTGGTGGACTTCCATTAATAAAATAACCAGTTCTGACGAGCTTCCGGTGAGATGGCAACGCAGAAGCCTGCATGTATGTGAGCACCACCTGATAAATTTTAATTTTATTTTATAAACATTGGGAAGGAGTTTAAATGAAGTATACAGCATTAATATCAGTTGGGGCTTCACTGAGACAAGCCAGGTTTTTGTAGAAGTGCGGTATCCTGATAACAAAGAATGTAAACTAAAAGTGGAATTCAAAGCATCCTATCCCATAAACCTTATTTTAGCTCTCCCAACTATAACACAGATAAATAATTAGTAAAATTGAGAACACTCACTACAGGAGGATGGATGAATGATTGAGAAACTAAGGAGGACTATTATTACTATCTGCTAAATATTAAAGTGGTACTTACAAGAGGTGGCTATCGTCGACTAGGATTAGAGCCAGAGACTGGAGCGGTAGAAGGTTGTAAAGAGGGAGGCAGTCAAGCTAAGATCACAGACTTTTTTCCCCCAACAAGGCCGTCTCTTAACCCTGT